GCGTCAAATGCAATATGAAATACGTAATACAGACAATAGAACATGCTGAATTCTAAACTCAATTCTTATCGTTTATCTCCGCATCTGCAGCGAGATCTCAAGAATACAGATACGTTGCAGCCACATTTACAAAACAAAAAATAAGTTTCATCGTACGCTGATGCAAGTTCAAAACTAACTTTTCTTGTTATGCACTTTTGCAAGATAACGTAATAATAGTTTCCATTGTCAATTGTAACTCAATAAATTTTACATGCGCGATTAAACTAACATATTTTCGAATTATCGGAAGTAATCTGGGCCGCACATTGTTTGTCAAGAATCTTTGTGTCACCGTGCTGCACATTTGCATGTATAAAAAAGCGCTGAGAATAGAATAAACCAAAGTGGAACAAATTAGAGACGTTATGTTCACAAAAACTACACGCAGTCGTAAAGAATATGATATACAATTCATACGGCTATCCACCCATCCAGTCATTCGTTCAAGTTTTTTTCTCCGACACATGTACGTGCCGCAGCCCGGAAATATAAATTTTATTACAAATTCTTACTGCTGTATGCTCGTAGTCTCACTTGTGATCTCCGTGTGAGCGCGGCGAACTATCGGAGAAAGTCCAGTTAAAAAAGTTCTCTGCGTGCCGGTGTGACGCGCATCGAACGATGACGCGTGCAGAGTGCGACCGATGAGGTAAAAAGTTCGCGCGATCGGGGAATAGCTTAAATATTCGAGAAGTTCTTGGTTTCGAATCGCTCGAGCAAACCGACGCGGATGTACATGTTTTACGTTCCCCGTGAGAGTGTGTTCGAAAAACCAGATACGTTAAACAGAGAATCAACCGGACACTTTGTGTCGTCCGCAAAGCGTAATGAGATTTTGCATAAGAAAAGAAATTACATTCTTTTTATAGAGAATGTAAAAAAAAAAAATAAAAAAACAATACAACTCGAACCATTCGTTATAATTTCTCCGAGAGCAGTCGCATCTAAGACGGCGAGTCGTTTTCATAAATTCTACTTTATGTCTTTGTATTTTCTTGGGATTATTAAAATAAAGTTGAAAAAATTAAATGAAAAAAACACATGGAGAGGAAATACAATCTAGTCTCGTACGAATAAAATTCACAGTCATGAAGGTCGATACAAGTTCATTTGGAATAGCAACGTCGGAGTCAAAAATCATGCCAAAAGTAGTTTATGTCATGTGACAACTTACACGAATATATGTAACGCGCGACTTACAATTTATATTACTCGATTAGCATATGAATCGTAGTCACGATAGTCGCAAAGGAACTTGATTTTACTGCGAAATACTAAGGATTACGTCACGAAGTCCGTTGTCAATATTTTAATTTCGTACAAGAGATGTACATAAATTCTCTCAATTTCGTAAAAAAATAACATCGTACTGTTTCGCGAAAGTACAACAAAATATTTTATATATTATATATCAAACATTCCATTCTGTTCAACACACTGGCCATTTAATCTTCGCGATGATATTTTTGGTGATATTTTTGCTTCCGTGTAAAAATTAAAAATTTAATTACTTTCACAAACTTTATACTACTCGGCAAAGAAATATATTATTTTGTTTTTAAAGATTTCAATTTACAAGAGCGGCTTGACCTGTTTTCAGCTTTGCAGCTTTTTTATTTGCAACGTTTTTCTTTATGCGACGCTTGCAAATAAATTCCGGAAAGTGCAAATTGAAAAAGTTGAAACAACAATCAATATTATTTAATCAAATATTCATTGCCGAAGAAAATGCATTTGAGAAACAAAATGTTATTTTCTCTCTTTAACAAATCTAGCGTTAAGTCGAAACGAATTGTCTTTATGATATTATCTTTGTGGTACAACTATGCTACCCGAACTACGTGGAACAAACTTCACCAAAGAGACTATAATGTAAAATGTTACAGAGACTCGCTAAACAGCGTGAAACTTGTGTATAGTATTCGGCCGCATAGGCTTTGTCGCAAAGTGGTAATAGTCAGCGTGCCGTCAGACGGAATCGATCGCTAATTGATCTTTGAACGTGCACGATAATTATCCTGATATTTATATAAGTATCATCTGTAATAAGACTAAAATTGTTTGCATACATGTGTATATACATTAAATTTACAAAATTAAAGAGGTATTAAAGTATAATACGAGACACTCGTTAAATAAACAATAATACGAGAGGTCAAATCGAGTCAAAAATATATTGATGTATTTACATAAAAGTGATCATGTGTACAGAAAATTGCGAAACGTTTCGAGTTCTTACGTCAGTCTTTATCAGTCACAATTGGTTTACGTATAAAAATAAGAAAATACAAATAATAAAAAAATTAGAGTGTGGATGCAAAGTTGATTAAAGTTTATCGTAGGACGTGCGCTCCAATTATAGAAAGATTAGTCATACGTTACATGAAAAGAGACCACAGGGTTATCTGTGAGAGTTAAAATGTTGTAAAGTTGTAATGTGTAAAAAAATGCAGATAATATTGACGCAAATATGTGATCACTTTTATGTAAATGCATCAATGTATTTTTGGCTCGATTTGATCTTTCGTATTCGTATTAAAGTACTTAGAAATTGTTGATTTTTTTAGCTTCTTGAAAATCTGTGTATCTCTGATAATATAAAAAAAAACTCGAGAAATATGCTAGCGTATATACTGTTTTGATAGATAAAGATTGTGAATTCTTGAACAATGTAATCTGCTTCCGAAAAAAATTGCAATTAAGTGATTAAGATCAGCAGAAAATCAGGCCGGAGTTGAAGAATAGATTTTTGGATTAGAGATTATCTGTTTGCGTGAATGATGACTCTCGCCGATTTCAGACTTCGATCGCAAGATTATAATCTGGTCACTAGACGGGCCACGCGAACTGTTTAGCATAGAGAATACCGAAGCTGGTTTCGCCGATATCCTCATCAATAAACCTTACTATCGAAGCGCCCCTTGCTTTATTGGTTCCCGCGATTGAAATTCGAGATAGGGAAATATAGCAAAGCTTCCCTATTATCCGTAGCCGGAATATAATTGCTATCCGTCGAACTTTGCGATTCGATCTCGCATGGCCAAATGCAATCTGTCGTCTGACTCAGCCTCTACGAGAAAAACCAAGTTCCCGCAAGGGCACACATCGATATGCCCCGAGTCGTTAAAAAATGCGGAACAAGCAGAAGATCTCTCTCTCTCTCTCTCTCTATCGAGCGTCATCCTTAGACTTTTTTCCTTATATCGAATAGAAGAGATTCAAGAGAAGCCGTGTTACGCTCCCACGTCGTAACCTCCGTGAAAACTATTTCCACATAACATTGCGAACGTAAATCGCGCCACCTTTCCGATTTATGCCCCCGGAGACGAGGATCCCTTGCCTGGTTGGCTATAAAATTTGAATAAAGCTATCCGCGAATTGGGCGCAGGCTTCCCTCTCGACTTGACGCACTCAACCGAGAGCAGAGGCGAGAATGTAAGAAACGTTCTTTGGAGATGCAAGAAGATGGCCAAAAGAGGATAGCGCGCTCTCTCTCTCTCTCTCTCTCTGTCTCTTTCTGTGTGTGTGTGTGTGTGTGTGTGTACAAACTCAAAGAGGAATCCTATTTGCCTCGAAAAGAACGCTTCGTCGAGATTAAGCTGAAAGACGGGGGGAAAAGAATGTACAGATCGCGAAACAATGGCGACGGAAACGCACTTGTCGGGTGAAACACGCACTGCGTAGAAACCACCCCTCTCTACTTCGGGACGGACGTCGTCATGGTTCCACGAACGAAAACTGGGTCACCGGCCACGTACACGATTCTCTCGCGTACGAGCTCGAGGCCAGAAGTCTCGTGTGCGCGCACGCGCGCGTACACGTGTAAGTGGCCGCGAGTTTACGTGTATACACGTTTCGCCACCAGTTTCTCACCCTGTGGCACGTCCGGAACGCGCGTCGCCAATCTTCGTATGTCCCGGTGAAGGGCACCGCGGCGCGTGGTACGAATTCGGAACGCGAAAGAAAGTAAGATTTAACTCCTCTTTCTGTGTGCAAAATTTCTGCCGTTGTGATATATCGCGTTGAAACAGAGATTGTTATATCGAGATCGAAACTTTAGAAACTAAATTAGAATTTAAACGACAGTTTAATGCTTCAACTCGAATTTTCGGTAATGGCGTCTTTCGTGACTGGCACGAATCCGCACGAAGTAATTTTAATCTCTATATCCTTCTTCTCTCCCGTTCTACCGTCTTTACCCTTCTTTCCGCGCATTCAAAGGAATTTCTTTGAAACGGGCTCCTTACTTTCTTTAACGTACGACCTATTTAACGGAATCGCATCTGGAAGCTCGATCACGAATCAAAGTTAAGGGTATCGCGGCGAAAGAAGTTCAGGCTTGATAAATGCATAGCTTTACTGCAGACTTAAAATTTTTCATATTTTTATGTTCGAAATCTTTTCTTGGTAATTAGCGAGTGCTAGTTTAAAATAACTCGCGAATGTACTCTCATATTGTAAATTCTCATTGTCATATCGAACTCTCTGAGCAACTTCGAATTGTATAACAGAATATACATTGCAAATTGCAACACTACTTTATATCGAATATTCATAAACATAAATATAACATACTTGAGATGTATAGTTTAATCCATTAATCCGCATAATTAATATAAAATTAGCGCGCGTAAAAGCTAAAAATTTAATATAAACAATACAGACACGTTATTATTTTCAACTGTGTCGTCAATATAAGTAATCAATATCGCGGTAATATTTAATAAAGTTGACTCATAGAGATAAAGAGTGCATGTGCAATATAGGTCAGGTTTCACTAAGTGTGTGTGTGTGTGTGTGCGACTCAATTTACATCTCTTTTAAAATCGATAGTCTTATTTTTAAAAAATAACAAACTGTAAACATTATGTGGTAGATTTGTGCGCTGCTGCTTTCCAGCGTCTCTGCTTCGTATATCGCGGTAATAATCGGTTCGATGTACGATTGAAAATACTCACCAGAATACGTCCAGTGGTGGTTTGTCCGGAAATCAACTCGCCGGCCCAGTCCTTGGCCTCGGTCATAAAAGTCCCCTCGAACTCCTTGCCCTGGCGGGCCGTCTTCTGCTCCTTCTGCTTCGGGTCATTTGGGCAAACCTCCGGTTCCTTGCGACAGCAGAGGAAGGCGAACGCGCGCCAGAGGAGCACTATCAGCAGCCCGGCGAGGAAGGTGAAGATGCTCGACAGCAGGAAGCACCACCATTTCCGGTCCTTGAGGCAGTCGTCTATAACCGGGGGCTGCTCGGTCATCCATTCGGTCGTCATCCCGGCGGATCTCTGCTGCCCCCGGGTCACACATTCACCGGCGGCTATCACAATCAGCGGCAGCTGCGGCAGCTAGTAGGGCGCACTTTATGCGCTTCATAATTTCGCGCCGCCCGCGGGAGTGCGCGACGCGCTATCGAGGACCCGTTGCAAAGGATCCGCGTCCTCGCGGTACCAGCAGCCACAAGCGTTTGTCAGCGCGCGCTCGCTGGAGAAAATCCTGCTGATCTTTCTTTTCTCTTCCTCTTTTTACCCTTTTTCTCCCTTTACCCCACACCCGCTTCGAATCTTATCGTTCTCTCTCACTCACTCACTCACTCACTCTTTCTCTCCCTCTCTCTCTCTCTCTCTCTCTCTCTCTCTCTCTCCCTCTCTGCCGTACCACTCTTGCTCTCTCAACCCTCTCCCTCTCACCCCCTCGCACTCTCCCTTTTTCTCTATCTTTTGATCACCTTCTCACACTGGTTTCTTTTGCTATATTATGTCTGTATTATTCGTTCGGAGGATGTTTTCTCCCTGTTCGTGAGAATCTTTTTGTCGAAAATCACTCGATCACTGTCGTCTTGACGACACACTGTCCGACCGAGAACTCGCTCTACTCCCTCAATACGAATTTAATCCGACGTGAACGCGCACGTCGATGTTTCCGCTGAGTGCACGAGCACCACCGCTCCGAATTCGGTGTCCTTGTCCTTGGTGAACGTGTTTCGTTTTCTATCCTCGCAGCTACCACCACGTAATCGGCCGTGATTCCATTCTGGTGGATACGAGAAATCGCGGCCCGTTTTCATCACGTTCGGCGGCAGCAGCTGCCGCCGCCGTTGATGTGTCACAAATAACGGTCTCAGTCACCGAGGCAAGTCGGAGCAACAGAAAACAACAGAAAAAACATTGACACCACTACCGCGTGTTACATACGCGCGCGCGTACGAATACACAAGTGCGCGACAGATATTTTCGTTTTTCTTTTCCCCCTTCCCCGCTTCTTATTTTTCACCCGTGTATTTATTCATGCGTATATATTTATGTACCTATTTTCTTATTTTGTTTTCGTTTTCTAATATAAGTATACACACACATATGAATAGGATGTAACCGTAGGTGAAACGCGTAAGCTCGCAAGCGAAACGCGAGCGGAATGCGCGACGGCGACGATGCGGATGACTATTTTTCTCTATCTGTGACCGCACGCCCGCTCCTCTTAACCTAATCGGCTGTGCACTACCGACTACGGCGACGACGACGGCGACGACGACGACGACGACGAGGACGACCGAGTGTCCCGACCATACCACTGCTCCGCAGCAATCAATACGCAACAATGAACCGGGACCAATAAGCTCGGAGCTTTTCCTGACGTAGACGCACGCTCTCTCCCTACTAGCTTATCCCCCACTATTCCGCACGCGGCCAAATTAGTACAGGCGGAAAACGCGCGGTGGCGCCTCGCGTGTCGCGGCAGCGGCTGCGCCAAAACGGGCATTACTACTTCGAGGATGCAAGGGTTGTTGCGTAAACCTTGATAATATATATTGCTCATATATTTTTGATAATATATATTGCTCATATATTTTTGCAATTATTTTATCTTTTTATAAAAAAAGATAAAAGAATTTTATTTGTATCCTATTATTGAATTTATCTTAAAATTTTGATATTTACAATGTAATCTGAAATTTTGTTATTTATAAAAGCATTAAAATGGAAACATTATTATTGAATAACTTATTCACATTGTTCAATTTTAATGTTATGAAAAATTACTGTTGAGAAAACATATCAGAAAAGTTTGAAACAGAACTTGTCAATATAGATATTAGCCGCAAGCAAACATCAACTGTATATTTCTCTGAAGTCTGAGAACGATCGCATTTTATGTGCTTTCGAGCGCCGCGAAGTTTTGTGAATATGAACTACATAATCATTCACGAACTAGTGAATAAAACCAGAATAAACTTTTGATAAGAACAGCCACGAGCGTACTTTATGCGTTTCTGTCTTTGAGCGCCACAATATACACGTTTGTGGACATGAACTATTTGTTCAAGAATCAATCCGATAGATAAAATGTCCACAATGATTTATTTGGTTCTGTTCCGTACTATGTAAACAAATAGTATGCAAAATATCTAAGTATACTCATTCGTTTATCTATAATCTAACTATTAATTTATAAGTTATTATCCTTATAATTTGGTTAGACTAATCCCCGCACAAATCTAGCACAAAGTTACAAATGTTTTTATCTTTTTTAATTAACTTGAGTGATTCTCTCTTAATTACTGTAAAAGTTTAGCAAGCAGAATTCCTAACAATCGTAATGTAACTACAAAGCAAGATAGAATGAACTCACAATCAGGTATTTTTTTTAGATCATTATTTCTTGCCATTATTTTCTTGTTTTTTTTTTTTTAATTACACTTGTTACGTTATATTGATATTCATATATTTACTACACACAATCATACATATTCAATTAAAATTTGTGCGAATAAGTATATACATTGTATATACATCTTACATATATTAAGTATATACATCTTATTTTTATGAAGTATATCTTATCTTTGTTTTATTGTTTTGAATAAATAGCGCACAGACACGTTGAAAATGATAATTTTTAATAAAATACGTATGTTACATATTGCGTTATTATGTAAATACGTGAATAAAGACTGCAGTAAATAGTGACACTCTCAAATTATACGTAAACAAGCAAAACTACTTTTACAATGTTTTCCGATATTTTTAAAATAATACTACAAAATACAAAATATGTGATATTTCGAAAAACTTATCTTTTCAAAAAAGGTAGGAACAGACGCCAAGTACATGCACAACACGTATTATATTTCAATTAATAAATTAAAAAATATATATGCAGAAGGGCCGATATGGAGTCAAATACTAGGTGTTGATGTATGAACAAAAATCTTTATTTAAACATGCCAAACGTTTCGACTCTTGGTTTGAGTCATCTTCAGTGGCATACAAAAAAATCTACATAAGTATATTAATATAAAAACTTTACAAAAATCAAAGAAGCAGTACAGAAAAGATACAAAGCAATAATTACAACTCACCATTAAGAAAAAGATAGGCAGTACATCACCTTGCAATAAGGAAGAAATATCAAATAATTAGTTGATATTCGTCACAGTGTTTCGAAAACCAAGAATGTCCTCTTTTTACGTCTCAAGTTAGATAGTACACAAGAAACATAAACTACACAACTGATGTACAGCCTTTACAAAAAAAGTTCGGATATATAAGTACTTGTTCCCCACCACAATAACAATAATAAAGTCTTTAAAGATGAACCATCACTTCGATTTGTATATTTCCAGAAACGAGACATAAGGTTTTAATTGCTCAGTATCTGACATAATATTAATCGCATTAGTTTGCAGCTTAATTTGAATCATTTCGGAAATTAATCGTTTATTATAATGGTTTTCACGATCCATAATACGTACATTATTCCAATTAAAATCATGCCCTGTCTGAAGGCGATGTTCAGTAACAACAGATGGATCTAAATGTTTTTGATTGATTTGATTCTTGTGTTCAGTACTTCTGGTTTTTAATTTCCTCTTGGTCTGGCCCACATAAGAAGCATTGCAAGAAGTGCACTCAAGACAGTAAACTAAATTCTCTTATTTTGTTCTTTCTTTAAGGGATCTTTAATTGCTTTAATAAATNTGTCAAGTTTGTTAATACTACGGAAAGCAAGGGATACATCAACTAAAGATTTTATTCACCTTGACATAGAGTCGGTGAGATTATTAATGTAAGGCATCACAAAGAACGACTTCTTTTTATCTTGAGTGTCAATTGAGTTAACTGTTAAATTTATAATTTCGTTGTTATATTTCTTATTAATTAAAAATTTGATTCTATTATTAATAATTTTAAAAATGAACTGTAAAGGATAATTGTTGATAATTAAAATTCTAATGATAAAGACGAGATTCTTGGTGTGAAACTGTGGATAGGACAGTGTAAAAATTTTGTCTACTAAGCAGATAATAGTCCCAATTTTTTGTGAGGTAGGATNCATAGACAAAAAGTTCAAATATCTACCTGAGAAGGTTTCTTTGTGATGCCAGTCAAACAAGATTAAATTGTGCTTGTCAACAATCAATTTTACGTCTAGAAAATTTAAAGTGTCATCAATCTGAGTCTCCATCGTGAACTGCAATCTATTGTTATAACTATTAAACAAAGACAAAAGTCCCGACAAAGAATCAGAAGGAGCCGTTAAAATCAGATCATCTACGTATCTGTAATAAAAAGAAGGGGAAAAAAATAGTTTTTTAAAAATTGATATCTCGAGGTCCTGCATGACAATATCCGCTATAATCGGAGATAAAGGTGATCCCATAGGTACACCAAAAGACTGTTTATAAATTTGGTCATCGAATAAAAAATATGTGGAAGAAAGAACAAATTCAATGGCAGAGAGAAATTCATCAAGAGGAATTTTAGTGTGATTTCTAATGAATTTCCACCTAATTTTTATGCTTTTTAAAGCCAAATCAATCGGAACATTAGTATACAAAGATATCACGTCCAAAGACAAAAGAATGTGACCGCGCTGCAGATCAATTTTATTAATTTTGTTCACAAAATCTGAACTATTATTAATATGGCTCTTGGCAGTAGGAATGTTTGTGTACAAAATTTTGTGTAGAAATTCCGCAAATGAATGTAAAGGACTGCCAATAGAAGACACGATTATTCTGTAAGGATTACCTGGCTTACGGATTTTAGGAATTCCATACGCTCTCGGAAGATTGCCATCACTCGATCTCATCATTTTAAAACTCAGATCACTAATATACTCTTTTGAAACCCATTTTTTTAAAAAACCGTTTAAAGTGTCCTCCATAGATTTAATGGGATTCTTTTTATTTTTATATATGTGGAGGTATCATCAAGCATATTATTGATCTTCTGAATGTAATCGTGTTTGTCTACAGCGACCGTCACACTGCTCTTGTCAGCACGTGTAAAGACAATTTCTGGGTGATGCTTTTGGAAAATTTTGACCTGTTTATATCTGATTAACAATTTATCATGTGTGTCACTGATAATAGGTGTCGAACTCAATGAATTAGTCAATCTGGGAATGAAAAAGGAACGCAAAGATTCCACAGTTTTTTTATCAAAAAATCTCAAATTATTTTCAACCTCTTTCACAACTTCAACTAGATTTCTTTTATTCGAGATCGGGAGACTGAAGTTGCCACCCAGTTGTAAAAGTGAGATCAAGAGGCACGGTACTGCCTCGCGCCAAGTTTCACGCGCAACGAAGTTGCGCTCGAACTGCGCGAGCACACCGTGCCTATTATACGCGAGATTCATGC